CGGGCGAGCCGGGACGAGCCGCCCCGAGAGGCAGCGGGCAGCCGGCTGCGCTCCCGGCGCCTTCCTGGCCCGGCTGCTCGGCTGGGTCCGCCCGGGAGGGCGGGCGAAAGTCCCACCGCTGGGCTGAGGGAAGGTTTGGGGTGGGGAACGGAGACGGAGGTGCCTGAAGGGCATGACCCACCCAGACAAATCTCGGCAGCTCAGCAAAGGCAACCCAGCGTAGGAAGAGCATTTAACAATTCCTGCCATTGTGTGAGGTTTCTGGCCAGCGACCCCTCAGACAAGTAAGTCACGAGCTGTGCTGTCTGACAGAAGGAAAAAATATCAGCCTCCTTGTGCAGGGTATACGGGGCAAAGAGGGCAATGGGAGTCACCCTCCTTCCATCTCCCTTCTCTGGCCTGCAAGGACACTCTGTCCTTCTCTCACCCCATCCCCTGTGGCTTCAGAACATTGTCTTAAGCTAAATCTTCAGCAAATCTTTCCTAAGCAGAATTAGAAGCTGTTTGGTTAAACTCCAAGCTGTTACGATAGGGCTGAAGCTTAGCTTATCTCAGTTACTCGGTACCCAAAGCTCCTGAGTTTTACTTTTTTCCAAGTGATTGTTCAGCCACAAAGCAGACTTCCTGGTAAGCCACCCCTGATTCTGTCACATTGGCTCAAATAAAAGGCTGAAATGATTCTCACAGATTCCCCTGGTACAAGGTCACAGAGGAATGGCTTACACCACAGCAGAGAAGACTGAGGGATCAGGTCTTATACAGAACATATAAACAAGTGCAAAGCACTTGTTTAAACAAATAAATGGTGTTTGCGGTTATCACTAGCGTGTTCTTTCATTGGTGCTCTTGGCATTTACCAGAAGCGGAAGAGGAATCCTTCTGTCCTACATGAGGTTGTTTGAAGTCAAAGCAAAGGCTCCATGAACAAGCGCTGTAGTCACACGGGATTTACCAATTCAACTAGTGCAACAGTACCAGCTATCTTTCCTCACTACATCTGGGAAGGCTATTGTGTGATTTGGTCTAGCAGGACCTGGCACTACCAAGCCTGATATTTCGTATTCCTGTGAAGGGGAAGTGAGAGAAAACAGGTGAGATTATGCTCTTCAGGTACCCAAAGGTCTCATGGACCTAGCGAACAACTCAAATTTTCTCTACAAAGTAACACCTTCTTCCAGAAAGTCAGAGTCAACAAACTCTTGGGACCGGTGTCCTGCCTGGAAATAAGAACTGCTATCAATATCATAAAAATGTAGTAAGAGGAAAACATAAAACAAAGCAAAGAGAGTAGTTTTGCTCACCATTTTTCTGTCCCAGAATGTTTTCTCTCTTTTCCCCCCAATTCATACATACACTATTGCTGCCTCTTTCCCAAAAGCTTTTACTGTCTCTGTATCAAAAGAGGATTATTTGGTGCATTGAGTATTCAACATGTTCTCTTACAGTATTGTTGTGTTCAATGAGCTTTGCTCATCTGAATGGACACTCACTGCATAGTCCACTGGTTTAATTTGCTGCTTTGGAAACCTAAGCAGGTTACAGCATATTTAGCTATGTGTCTGTTCTTATGTGTCAAAGATAAGGTTTCTGAATGCCATTTTTAAAAACAAAATTATTTCACTTCAGTAGCTTTCTCTTTTCAGTGGTCTCTTCTTTTTAGTCTTGGATATTTCAACTCACCTTCTCCTTGCAATGAACAAAGCCTGGATCTTCACCCCAAATCAGCAAAGCTCCATTGAACAAGAATTTCTATTTCTTCTTCCAGTAAGGACTTTTTTTAAGCTGTTAACAATTTTAGCATGTTCGATCCTCACTTTTTTTTTTGCCCCTTTCAAGAGTTGTCTTAAAAGCAATATTTAGATTTTTGTAAACTATAATATTCTTCCCATGAAGAAAATAGAAACTAGTCAATCAAGGGAGGATATGAAGGAGAACAGAAATTCACAACACACATGGTGTAAAAAGACAGTCTCCCATTTGCAAGCACTAGGCAAAAAAAAAAAATATGGTGGTGGCAAATATGGGGAAACAGTAATTTGAACTGTATATTAGAAGCTGAGGAAGGCATCACATGAAAATGAGAGATCTAGAAAGCAGAGAGAAGTGTCCATGTTATTCACAGAACAGCTGCCACAAAAATGAGCAAATGGTTTTTGTCGTGGTTTAACCCGTCAGGCAGCAAAACACCACACAGCTGTTTGCTCACTCCCCCCACCCCCAGTGGGATGGGGGAGAGAATCAGGGGGGGTGGGAAGTAAGATTCATGGGTTGAGGTAAAGGCAGCTTAATAGGACAGAAAAGGAAGGGAAAGTAATAATAATGATAAAAGAATATACAAAATAAGTGATGCACAAC